CTTTATAAATGCCCTTTTCATCCCCTGAAAGTGCCTAAAAACCTCAAATTTCTTGTTAACGTGGGCCAATTTCCTCAAAAAATTTAACATTTTAGGGAGTTTTGATCAATTCCAACGAAATTAGAATTAAAAACACTGGGGGACATGGCCGGCGGAACCGGGGGCCCGCCCCCCCCCCCACTTTTTGGCAAAAAATATATGTCTGGAGATTTTTGTATGAAATGCAAGAAAAGAAGGAGAAGGATGGGAAAGAGAATGTTTATCCAGTACCCTACCGAGTTACATTTTCACGCAATTCACATTGGCGCATATGGGGAGGGGGGTCACGGGCCCTGACCCCTCCCTTGGGCAACAAAAAAAAAGTTCTAGACCTACCTTTTCAGGACCCGTGAGCTGATTTTTTTTTTTTGTTGCATTAAGAAAATTAGAATTTTGAACAACATAAAAGTCATTAAAACACACATCAAATGTCGTGAAAGCTCATTTCCCGCCATCTAGGAATCAAAATTTTCGAGGGGAAGCGCCTCTGGACCTCCCTTTCTTTTTGGGGTTTATCGATTCATGGCAAAAAGAATACGCATGCAACTACTCATTTGTTTATGTATGAATACACACACAAAATAAAAAATGAGAAAAATTTACCTGACTGTTTTCAAGAGGGGAAAAACTTGAATTTTGAAGAACTTAAAATACATTTCAGAAGTCAGGAAAGCTCATTTCCCGCCATCTAGAAATCGAAATTTTCCCGGAGAACACGGACCTTTTCTTTGGTGTTTATTGATTAATTGAATTATTTTCAAGAGGGGGGGGGGGCACCTTGAATTTTAAAAGTCATTAAAAGACACCTCAGAAGTCGGGAAAGCTCATTTCCCGCTACCTAGGAATCAAAATTTTCTTGTGGAAGAACCACAGGACCTACCCCCCCCCCTTTCTTTTTGGGATTTATCGATTCATGGAAAAAAAATACGTATGCAACTTGCTCAAACTTTTTCTTATGTTTGTATACACACATAAGGCCTATTTACTGTAACAACAATGGGAAAAAATTATTACCTTTAATTTTAAAGAACTAAAATTAAAGTCGGGAAAGCTCATTGCCCACCACTTAGAAATCAACATTTTCCCGGGAAGAACCCCTACCTCCCTTTCTTTGGGTTCATTGATTAATTATAATAATTTTCAAGAGGGGAAAACCTTGAATTTTGAAGAATTTAAAGTAATTAAAAGACACCTCAGAAGTCGGGAAAACTCATTTCCCGCCTTCTAGGAATCAAATTTTCCTGGGGGAGAACCCCCGGACCCCCTCCTTTTTGGGATTCATCGATTCATGGAAAATTCGTATGCAAATACTCATTTTTTTTAAATTTTTATGTATGTATACACACATAAGGCCTATTTACTGAATAACAATGGTAAAAAATTACCTGACCGTTTTCAAGAGGGAAAAACCTTGAATTTTGAAGAACTTAAAAGTAATTAAAATGCACCCCAGAAGTCGGGAAAGCTCATTTCCCGCCTTCTAGGAATCAAAATTTTCCAGGGGGAGGACCCCCGGACCCTCCTCCTTTTTGGGATTCATTGATGCATGGAAAATTCGTATGCAACTACTCATTTTTTTTTTTTTTTATGTATGTATACACTTAAGGCATATTTACTGAAAAACAATGGTAAAAAATTACCTGACCGTTTTCAAGAGGGAAAAACCTTGAAGTCGGGAAAGCTCATTTCCCGCCTTCTAGGAATCAAAATTTTTGATCCCCTTTCTTTTCGTGATTCATCGATTCATGGAAAATTAGTATGCAACTACTCATTTTGTTTTAAATGTTATGTGTGTATGGACACATAAGGCCTTTACTAATAACAATGGGAACAAATTACCTGACCGTTTTCAAAGAGGGGAAAACCTTGAATTTTGAAAAACTTAAAAGTAATTAAGACACCTCTGGAGTCGGGGAAAAGCTCATTTTCCGCCATCTAGGATGGACCCCCCTTTTCTTTGGAGCTTATCGATTCATTGAAGAAAGAATACGATATGCAACTACTCATTTTCTTAAGGTATACACGCATAACAGGCCTATTTACTGTAATAAGAAAGTTTACCTTACCGTTTTCAAAGGGGGAAAACCTTGAATTTTCAAGAACAAAGTCATTAGACACCTAGCTCAAAAGTCGAGAAAGGTCATTTCCAGCCATCTAGAAATCTAAATTTTCCCGGGGGAGGAATGTTGACCCCACCACCTAGGTTAGATTCCCGATCTGCATGATTCATATTCCCATTTCATATCCCCATTCATCTTATAAGGGCCCCCCCCCCCCACTTTAAAAAACGCTCCGCCGGCCCTGAAGGGGAAAATATCCATCTTTGGAAAATCTTTCCCCACCCCTTGACAAATGCATCCTCTGAAAGTGCCTAAAATTCTCAAATTCTTGCGCATTTCTTGTTACGGTAGGCCAATTTCCTCTATAAATTGCACATTTTAGGGAGTTTTCATCAATTTCGACGAAATTAGAATTAAAAACACAAAAATATTTTGCGTTTTTAGGGCTATTTTAGGTTTATTCTTTTAAGTTATTTAAACACATAGGCCCGAATAGTCCCAAACTTAAGAAAGACAAATTTAAGATAGATTGTTTTAACCTAAAAGAAGGGCCTCGTGTATTGATGGTGAAAGAATATGTTTGTAATAAATAAAACCATGATGAAAATGCTTATATTTAGTTTCAAACACACGTGTGTGGCCTATATTATAAATAAGATAAGCCCTATGTCGTATTGTTTTCTATATGGGGAGTGGTGTGGGTATGGTAAATTACTAACCGGGAAAATAAATACCCACTCTGACCCGAGACGCCTGTTACGCGCCTGGTGTTAGCGCCAATGTGTGCCCTTGTGCGGACAGGGGATGTGCCCCCCCCCCCTCTCTGAAGCTGGAAACCTTGTTTTTGCAAAATAAATTGATGCAATTTGCTATTATAGGCCTAATCAATAAATTCCTCATCAACCGATATAACCTAAAAACAATCTTGGAATTGACATAACATTACTGATGTCGTACACACCCTTCAGTGTGAAATGTGGCTCTCTTTGCAAGCACATCTAACATCTAAGGAAAGAAGAGCTTAGATTGGTACCAGATAAAATAATTTTGTTATCAACATTAATACATTATGCTAATTTTTGTAAGCGCGTAAGGCAGTGCAAATTATTTATGTTACAGTCTTTTGAAGTGTGTGAAGCTCTATTTTATCCCATACATAGTCAAAGTATTGGGGGATGATACAATGGACCATCCCCCTTGTCAAATATTGGGGGATATATCCCCCATCCTTGGGGGTATATATCCCCCATCCTTGGGGGGGGGGATATATTCCCCCCCCCCCCGGGATCTACGCTTATGCTCGGCTCGACTGGTAGGGTATGGTGTGTAGGATGGAGTACAGTACTTGGCATATGTTACATGGTGTACTGAAAGCTTTTATGGGGAATTAATTATTAAGTGATTTACTGTATTTATTCAAATAGACTCCCTGTTTGAATAAACAACTCCCTCTCATAATTTCCCATCCAGAGCCTTATTTGGAATAAATGCCTCCTTCAAATAAATCCCCTAGGGGATTCATTTTTTCTCAAACGCCTACACCTAAATGATTATAAACAAAAGTAATGAAAGCATCATCATCATCATCATCATCATCATCATCATGTGCCATCTTCGATACGAAGGTTGGCCGCCATGTCTCTCCATTTAATATGATTTTCTGCTGCTCTCTTTGCCTCCATGTAAGATGTTGTTGAGCTCCATCTCTTTTTTTTTGTCTTTCGTGGGGATCACCCACCTTTATTTGTCCTCTTTTTTCATGATTTTCAATTTTTCGTTTCCTCTCCTATTATACAGTGATCTTATGCTGTACCAATATTTACATATGCGTTCACAATTCAAAACAATTTTGTATTTATACATTTATGCAATATAAAACAAATTTAAAAGAAAAATTAATTGAATTATATAAGCA